GAATTTGAGTAAAGTCATGCTGTCGGGCATTTATTATATTATCCATTTTGCTCACATGTCAGCATCAATTACCCTTTAGAGGAAGGCCTGGCTGTGAACCACAGGTTATTTGGGAAACAGCAGAGCTTGCACAATACCTAAAAGTGCTTAAAAGCTACTGTTTAGCTCAAGGAGCTGAATGAATGCTGCACTGTTTTACTTCATAGGACACATTGAGATGTTTGCTTCTCGGTGAGTCAGTGCATAGTCCCGCAGGTCTTTAAACACATCATAATCTCAGAGATGATCCGTCAGTTCCACGGTGTCTGGATCACCGTACACCCCTGAACGCCAGGCTAAATAAAATCTAAACCAAGCTCAAAATGCTGCGATGAACTCTTTGTTAGATCTACAACCCTTTGTACGTCTACACCGTTCAAAAACAACCGAAGCCTCCGGACAAGTGTGTTGGGAAAGTTAAAAAGGATCAATATATGATATGATAAACTTCACTGAAACCCAGTTGTGGAATGCAGCAAACTGGCATAGTGAGCTTTGAAACTATAAACTAGCAGCTTTTTTGTATACCTATGTGCTTTGTGTAACAGCTGAATGACTGTTTGTTTATCTGCACATTTTGGCCCTGCATGTAAAAACTGTGGTTGTAATTCTAATAATTCTTTCTGCAAGCATAGTTTGCCAATAAATAAACTGGATTCAGGTCATATCAGAGGAATTCTGCGAGCCCCTCCAAGCTACAGTTTACCTAATGACAAGATCAATAAACGCTTCCCATGCCACTGTCACTTTGCAGGGCTACGTGACGACTTGATTTAACCTCTGATACGTGCCTTCTAGGTGGGGTTCCTTTTCTGCTGACGCCCCCCCGTTGAGGATCATATGATGTTCTTGTGTTGCTCTGTAATGTTTTGCATATGGCTCCAGGGCGAGGATCCAAAGTCTGAGTTGAATGGTGTTTTTGTTCAACATGGATCATCCCAGAAGAGAGCAAGAGTGCACACGGCTGCCTCAAACAAGGCTGTCAAGATGTCCGCAGAGGCCCCACGCCAGCACACCCCACCAGGCAGCTGCTGCCTGCCAGGCGCCCATCTACAAATAATCTACTGTGGGAGGAGGTGTCAGTCTGTTCTGTCAGGGTATACAGTGTATATTCAATCCTGAGCGAAAGGTTCAAAGCTGTTACACAAAGAAACTAGGTAATGATGAGAATTTAAGCAGAACTGACCCACATTTGAAGCATAAGTGCTGTTCTGAGACTACCATGTATGGATTAATACGAAGGCACAGGCCACGGGGCACGAGAGGGACAGTCGGGAAAGTAATTTTAGGGGAAATGACTACAAAGAGACACAAGAGATCCCAACAGCTACACAATTAAAATGGAAATAAAACACATACAGACACAAAGCTCCCAGAAAGGATACAAATTAATTACAGAAAGATTCAAACCCCAAAGAGACAAAAAAAGAAAAATACTTAGAAGAGATTCAAAATAACTACAAACAGATGTAACAGAGCGCAACATAACTATAAAGAGATAGAAAGTGACTATAAGAGATGCAGAACAGCTACAAACAAATGCAAAACAACTACAATACATCTACAAACAGATACAAAACAACAACAAAGAGATGGAAAACACGACAAAGAGAACCCAAAAATCTACAAAACAGATGTAAAACAACTACAAAGTGTTGTAAAACCGCTACTAAGGGAGGCAAAACAACTTAAACGACCCCAAAAAGATTCAAAATGCCAAACAAATGATGCAAATGACAACAAAGAGATGCAAACAACTTCAAAAAGATGCAAAACACCTACGAAGTGATGCAAAACAACCACAATGAGAGAACCAAAAACACTATGACAGGATGCATAACAACTACAGAGACACAAACAGACCATAAAAAGATTCAAAATGATGACAAAAGGATGCAAAACACATAGAAAAAGATGCAAAATGAACACTGATGTAAACAACTACAAACTGATGACCATGAAAAGATACCAAATGAGTCCAAAAAGATGCAAAATAGCAAGAAAGATCAGCAAAGCAACTACAAACAGTTGCAAAACTTCTACAAAGAGTATGCTATCATACAAAATGTCATAATATGGCAACAAAGGAGGCAACATACACCACAAAGAACATGAAAGTATACCATAAAGACATGCAAAACTAACACAAGGAGATGCAAAATGGCTACAAAATGATGCAAAACAAGTACAGAGACAACAGCTACAAAGATGAGTGAAGCTAGCACAAAGAGGCACAAAATAATGATGTGTTTGTGTCTTGTATTTATGTATGTAAGGGCTGCCTTTACATTTATCTCAGACTAGTGCAGTGCCCACTGTCAGTGGTTAAACGCTGATGTTGATGGTGTTGCCTAGCAACAGGCAGCCAAAGGCCTACTGAGGATTCTGCTGTGAAAGAGTAACAGGAAACAACTTTTAGCCAAAATATGAGCACCGTTTATCAAATGACTTCAAACTCAAAGCTGCACTTCCTTGGGTTCCCTGCAGTAAGTCCGCCGTGTTTGAAGTGAATCCAATGAAGTGTGGTCGAGAAAAGCGAAAAACAGACATAAAGACGGAGACTCCTTCATTGATGAGTGGGATTATTAACAGATGACACTGTAAAAAAGATTATGTACTTGGTATTATTTACATGCTACGGAGTCCCAGAAGGGACATGGAGGAAGAAAAAAAGACAGGGAGAGGGGGAAAAAAAGATAGCGGTATCTGTTGCGAGATCTTGCAAAACTTTCTTGGGATCTCGCAATAACTTTTGTGGGAGCTCGCAAAACTATAGGTATCTCCAGTCTGGTAGGTGGCGGTAATGCACCTAAACGTTGGATGAATAGAGAAAAAAAAAGAAGAAGAAGAAGAAAACTATAGGTTCTTAATTCTGGGTCTTTTTGACAGAATGGAGAAACAACAATGGAGGACACCCACCCGTACAAGAGTTTTGAGTTTCATTTTGAAATCGGCCTAAAATATAAAGACATTCAAGCAATGCTGAGCAAGAGGCACAGTTTTGACAAAACATCCAATAAGACTGAGGTGACTTTTGTGAGATCTCGCAAAAGTGTTTGCGAGATCCCGAGAAAGTTCTGCGAGATCCTGCAAAAGATATCTCTATTTTTTCCCCCTCTTCCTGTTTTTTTCCTTTCTCCATGTCCCTTCCTGGGTTCCATAACATACAAGCAGAAATGTGATGACAAGTTTTCTTCTGGTGTGCTGCAATATTCGGGCAAATTTAAGCCAACTTTGGGCAAAAAATATTTTGCTATTTGTTTTTTGTAATTGATATTTCACAGTTGCTCCATATTTTCAAAACCCTTTCTCAGTGCATGATTAGTGGAAAGCCACTCTGACATTACTGTAGGACATAAACCATCATCTTTTATCATTTCACGGTGAACTACACTTCTTCTTGTATTACAAAACAGCCAATCAGGTTTTGACAGTCCAGTGATCAGGTGGCATGTCATACTCCATTAAGCGTGACTGTGATAGCTACAGGGTCCTTGCTATAAATTCTTAAGTGCTCTGTTCACACTTTTTGCTTCGGTATTTTTAGTTCATCTCAAGTTCCTGTGACAAGCAAAAATCTCTGAAATCAGTATGTAAAATGTAGCACAACAACAACAACAAAAAAAAGCCCAGTCATATGGCTTTAACCTCATTACAAATTGCTTACAGACAGTCGAGTTAACCGCAATCAGTTTGTATAAACAACACAAGAATATAGCTCATGCTACCGAGCCAATACAGTGTCTCACAGGCCTGGCTGCTGATACAAGTTATGTAAACGCTAAGGCGACAAGGCAGATCCCGAGAGGTGCCCGCTGGGGAGCTCTGGCTGGCCGTCACGCCAGCTCTGAAACTCTGAGGCCAGACACTTCGCAAGTGTTCAACAACTTGTTGCTTTACTTAGAAGAAAGAAAAGGGGGGACGGACATCTGTCTTTGAGGTAAACTGTATAAACTGTTTTGATGTGAGATTACGTCCCTCAGCTTTAATTGCTTGACTGTCAGGCAGTGATGTAAGTGTTTAAACTGTTTAAATGTTGCACTGAGAGCTGCTTACATGCATACGTTTTGCATATTTCATGTCACTACCATGAAGGGGAAGCGTGCTACAAATCCCAAAGAGTAATAATCCCCCTTTATGAAGACAAAGCTAATTCACTTCATAGCCCTTCCTCTGGTTTCTCTGCACCAGTATCACATTAAGCATGAAGCCGGCGGTGTGTCTGCCTGGTCACTGTGGCAACTCCACTGCCAAGACCCATTAAAATGACCCAGTATTCGTGTTCATACAGCGTCCACGTCGAAACGCTGCTGTGATGAGTAAAGACGCTGCCATTAGATGAACATAAACAAAACCCTTCGACCTGTGGTTGGAAGAAAACACCACGCCGATGTGTGACATCTCTGCATTACAGGTCATTAATTTCCTCTACATGGGTCGCTTGAGGTTTTTCGTGCAGGGTTTCGGTGCCAAAACAGAAATGCTGCTGGAAAATGTCCCTCCCTTGCATTTCCCATCAGTGAGTTTCTTCATGTGATTGCTCGGAAAGGAACATGACAGTATGTCAGGGGCATCAAACAGGTTAGTCAACAGGTGGGGTTGGAAAGAAGAAACGCAACACAACTTGTTCTTTATAAGTGGAATGGGGAACTAACAGAGGACATAAGTGATAAAAATCAAGCAGAGATAAAAGAAAAAGCCGGATTTCTGTTGTACTGAGAGTCCCTACTGGAGTATTAAATATGCATTGCACGGATAGAAGAGTCCTTTTAGGTGTGCATGGGAATATAAAGAGGATTTATTACTAGTAGCGACTCTTCAAGTCCTCTCTTTGGTGACTACAGCGTTAATAGTCCTGGAAAGCCCCACCTCCACTACCACCTTTTATGTTAATTTCAGCGTGATCCGTGCGCGGACCAGAGAGAGCCGCTGGATCTGTAGGCTGCTGCTTCATGTCGATGAAGCTTTTGGACAAACTGATTCTCTGATCGGGACTTTTTTTTTTTCTTTCTTCCTCCTCTTTTAACGTATAATGCCGCCGCTGAGGACGCGCAGCTGAATGTGAATATTGTGGCTCCAGCAGCAGCAGCAGCAGCAGCAGCAGCGTAGTTAGAGAGGAGGTGAACGCACCTTGCATCCAGCCATGGGAGGTCAGATCACCAGGAATACCTTCTGCGGTAAGGACATGTGGCATCGCGGGGGGGCTCCGTATTGATGCGTTATTAGTCGTGCATGCGGCGATTTGGTGATTATGAGACGGTGTCATCGAGTTGCAAGCGCGCTTGTGCAAGCTTGGAGCCGCCGTGCATGAGGACTGTAGGCGTTCTGGTAGCCGAAAATAAATGAGAAGTGAAAGTGGCTGCTTTGGCCAAGTTTAAGGAAGTCACGACTGGCTTAGAATAAAGGGAAACTGTGTTTTTCTTTGAGATCTTCTGTAACATCATTATGATAAACAGCCAAGATTGTTTTTTTCTTGAGCTCTTATTTTTCCTTGAAGTGTAAGTTAAGAGTTGGAGAGAAACAAGACAGGAGGAACTGAGCCAAGTTGGTGCAACACATAACTTTTCTCACCTGGCTTCTTATTTGTTTGCCTCTGTATCCTTCAGCAGTAGCCTCTCGTGTTGTTTTCTTTCTAGTCATGTGGCTCTAACTGATCATACTTGTTTCAAAGGATTAAAGTTAACAGGTGTGATGGCATCTTTTAATCCCTGTTATGTTTAGTTAAGAGAAGACAATTTAGTGTGTGACTCATTTGTAATACAACTTGTGTTGCGTCTTTTGCTTTCTGGCTGTAATAAATAGACATAATATGCATATAGAAGAAAACTTATCTGGGATATGAAAGTGAAATCTGCTGAAAACTACAAATAAATTGAAGATTAATGTGATGAAGTGTGTTAGATTTGTTGTTGCTGAAGTTTCCGCAGTAGAAGTTGATGCAGCAGATAGAAGGAAATCTTGAAAAATTACTTGGATTAATCGTTTCATCAAGCTTCAGGTTATCAGCTGTGAGGATTTGTGGATTTTCTGTGGTCTAATCACTTTAAATTGACTGACTCTGGGTTTCAAACTGTTGCTTCAACGGAGGTAAATTGCGATCTGCACTATTTTCTAAAAGCAAGCACATGAATTGGTTAATCAAGAAAAATTATCACCAGATGAATTTGATTATAATGATCGCATTTATAACAATTATTTGCCTTTTTTTTTGCTTGTGGGACGCAGTAATTTGATGAGCCTTCAGCTACTTTAAAGTTCTACTAGGAAGCCGTATAATTTATTTGTGGCTTTGAGTTACGATGCTGTTAACAGATATGTAGTACACAATCAGACGGCATTTCATTTTCCAGATACACAGCCTGACATGGGTCAGTTTATAGAGATCCTTGTCTGATTTCCCTGCTTGGGGCCACTGGTGTGAAATAACAATACAGGTGCAGACAGGGGCGCTGCTAGAAATTCTTGGCCCTCTGACAAGAGCTCAGTCAGGGCCCTGAAAATATAAACATTCATAATCCCCGTCATGTTGCAGGGCCCCCGTCCAGCTTAAGGGCTCATGAATCACTCAGCTCTCTGTTTCCCCCTTTTGGTAAACTTGCATGGTTGTGTTGCTGGCGTTTCGGCATCACAGCGTGACTTTCGTGGAGAGGTCAAACCAGTTTTCAAGATGATTCCGTTTGTGTTATAGAACTTTTTAATATTCATCCCAGCATAGATATTGAAGTAGCAGTCATTGTCGCTTGTTTTACGGTTAAGCAAAAGTTTCGGTTTTGCTTCATGTTATCACGAAACACAGCTAACTTAAGTAGCATTGCGTAACATTACCAGATCTGATGGCGGATTAGACAGCTCTTGATAGTGGCTTGTTTTGAGTTACTAGACATGCAGACATTCTTTGGTTCAAGCTCTTCCACTGTGAATGTTTTGCGTGTCTATGACAGTCAGTTGAATGCATTTGGATTTTGGTCCGTTGGTTGGACAAAACAAGACTTGTGAAGGTTAACACCTAGGGCTCTTTCACTATTATTTAGATGCAACAAGGCAAAAATAATTGTTCGTAGCAACCCACTCTTTACATTGCATTACATTCCAACATTCACTGCGTGCATACTTGTTTACTCATCAGGAGTTTTGGCACCAAACACTTTAGCTTCCCTCTGTGAGGCATAAAAAAAATCCTCTTTTAAATCATTTATATCACCTAACTTTCAGAAAGAAAAAAAAACTAGTGTTTCTACAGATTCAAGTGGACCATTTTGTCTGCACTTCCACACCCATAACAGGACAAAAACAATGTTTTCTGACTTTTCCTTGGAGGGCCCAAACTTTGTCTACTCTCATAACAGCATTCTATAATTTAAGTGCAGTACTGACTGTAAAGACAGTAGCTAGCAGCATCTTAAAACTTGAAAAGTGTTTTGGATTCACATTTGTTTACCTCTTATTGAAACCACACAAGCTATGACATATTTGCAAAAACTACAAAACCTACACGTGCCCTCTGGTTCTTTCGGATGCCTTTGAGCGTTTGTCTTGCGAGTGAGGTCCACCGAGCCTTGATAGTAACGTCAAGCCACATTAGGGCCTCTGCTCAGGCTTCTTAGTAAGACCGAGCCTCAGGATAAAACACGGAGGAGCGTAGGAGGCCAGGTGACACTGGCCAGGGCCACTCATTGTCTCTGCACTGTTTGTCCTCTCCAATTAATGACAGCAAAGCCAGTCACATTGTGTGCGGTGGTGCATTAAGTAACATTATCCTTCCTTAAGTTACTCATCTGACGTTTGTCCTGGCACCTCTCTTTTATCATGGCAGGGCTCTGGTCACTGTTTACCGTGACGTCTCTGTCAGGTCGCATGACTTTTTAAACTCACTCCAACAGCCGCTGTGTCATCAGCACTTTTGACTTCAGCCGTCATTTGCAGTAAATCAACGGGGTATTTTTTATTTATCCTGTTATTTGCTTATTTGACTTTCAGAGCTGATATAGTCCTCTGTGCGCTCTGAAAGCTGTAAACCCATCCCTGAAGTGCAGAAATAGAGCTTCTCCTAGAAAACAAAAAGTCGGGGGAATTCAATTTCACAGCAGCAGCAGAAATGATATTAATACAGCGAGAATGAAATATATGAAATATTGGATTCTCCTTTCAGATGCTAAGGCATGAGACAGAGAATTCTGTCTGCAGAGGCCTGTGAGGTGTTGCCTCTGTTCTCAGATCTCTCAGGAAATACTCTATTCAGTCTCAAGCCTGGTCACTGATGGAGTACAATACAGTCCTGTTCTGCTTTCCTGAAGACATCACGTCTGACATGACATCATTGATGCAATATGGTTGAAGGATTTGTTATGACTTCATTTAAGACCTCTGTTGTGCACTGAGCACAATTCAACATTGTTCTGCAGCGACAAGAGCATGCAAAGAGCTTAACAAATACACTGTACTGAGCCCAGAACATTTGGCAGAGCTTCTCTGATTGTGATATGAAGGGAGAGACTGTACAGAAAAATGTGACAAAGATGCCCAGTTGAGAGTATTTGTAATTGCCTTTTGGGCCTTTAACCTCAACAAATTAAAACTTTTGACATTCAGCATGTCCTCTTCCGCTGCTCCAACCTCTAGCCCTGCCCTGAAATCAGAGCAGCAATGATGTTATAGAAAACCTAGCCTCAGAAGTCACATGGTCGCTCGTTTCCAATCCTGACGATCTGTCTCCAGGGCGCATTATAAACCTCTTGACCCTCCAAGGTCAATCAAAGCAAAGCAAGAATAGCCGCCTTTCAGCAACAGCTCATATACTCTTCTTCTCTCACAGACAAACACAAGCAGCTCCTACACAGTCTTCCAAGTTTAGGTGTGAAAATAAAACCGGTTCTCAAGGATGAAGAAGCGTTAATTATTTATTTAGTTTCCAGTCTTGGCAGGTTGGCTGGAACTCATAGTGCTTAAAATACCCTTAAATGCAACTGTAGAGACGATCAAGTACTTTAGTGCAAAAAACTGTAGCACATCACTTAATGAGATGATTTTTATTAGCGTCAGTCAACCCAAAATAATCCAGCTTTATGGATGATGACAGCCCAAAGTCTGTGAGAAAACACCTCCTCCAGTAAACCACAGTGACCTTGGTGTTGTGCTTTAAGGAGGAATGTGGAAACAAGAATGAGGAGAGTTCATCCGAATGAAAGGGAGTCAGCGGGAAATCGGGCTCACGATGACTTTGAGTAAATTATCTTTATCAGTGGAAAACCACCAAAGTGCAGATTTGACGAAATGATGTAAGCGGGAACATTTTCACACGGGAAAAAAAAACAACTTGATTTCATTAGGTGTCGTGTTTTTCATCATTCTGGTTCGGCAGGTATTGTGTACGTGACTCTTAAGACATAAAAGTTGTGATTGATACAAGCTCATTAAAACATGAGCCACAACCGGAAATAACATGTTAACAGACATGCCTCACTATAATTAGAGGAGCTTTGAATATACTGTATGAGCCAGCTGAACATACACACATGAAGAAATCCTGCAAAATCTCAAAGGTCATTTTCTGCCGGGTTAATTGTAGTTGTGTTGCACCTTTCATGTAAGTGCAACTTTTTTTTTCCTCCCCCCTTTATCCTCCCCCTCATGCTGCTTCCTTTTGTACTCATTATTGTACAAATGTGTTCCAGCACAGAGAAAAAACACACACACAAACAAATCAAACAGAAATCAGTTTGAAATTTGGCAAGATGAGGAACAACAAAAAGAAAGCCGTCTTACCGGAAATGACCATTTACTGAAATTAGACTGCTTTGTATGAACTTCTCACAGCTGCATTGTTCTCCTAAGCTGCGTAACCAAGGGAGTGATTTCAGCTTTGTGTAGTTTCTTTTCACCCAAGGACTTCTCTGCATGTAATTCACCTCATGTCAGTACAGTAGGTGGCTTTACCTCGAGAAGCTTGAAACAGAAGCCAACTATTAGATTATTTAAATGCGTTTCAACCAAATTGGATGTTACAGGAGCAGGTAAGACATGTGAGAGAAAACGACATGTGACAGCAGGTCAAGACCTCAAGTTGTCAGTGTTCGATTCAAAGTGAAACCTGCTGTGGTCCAGACTGTCTAATCTAATATCCTGATCTGATCCAGAATGCGGGTTTTTTTTTTACTTTACTGCACAAAGACGAATTTGCTGTTCCACACCTGTTGACCGAAAAACACTTCTCGTTCTCCACAATAGATTCTCTGAACGGACCGTTTCCCGCAACCTCTCACCGATGCCACCACAAGCCCAAGCGCTGCCTGCCCATCCAGCCATGTGGGAGTTTGTCCTCCTTCCCTCTGCTCTTTCACCCCAGCACCAAGGGCTCGCAGATCATCATGGACATGTCCCAGAGGACCGTCAAGAGACAGGCCAGCTTCTGCAATGCCATCACCTTCAGCAACAGGCCCATCGCTGTGTATGAGCAAGTTCGACTGAAGGTAAACAGCACAGAATTTGTGGAACTGAGAATGCAACAGACTGACTCATCACTGGGCTAAAATTGACCACTTTAGTTGCAATAAGCAGCAATAATTATGCCACCACCAGGGTTAGAGCATGACCGACATTAGTCATCTTCCTGGTTTCCGTTATTTCCTGTAAAAAAGCACGACTAAGCCGTACATTGCACCGGTTCCTTGTAAATTCCAAGATACTGCAGTACCAACATTCGTACATAATGTACTTTGTAATACACAGACTAGTAGTGAGACGACACTCAAGACGCTAATAGTGACTGTGATGAAAAGTGGTGTCTTTTCTCTGTCTCTCCCACTCACTCTGTCAGTATGTTTTTGTTTCTCTCCTCCCTCCCTGTCTCCCTCTCTTCATCCCCTCTCCTCGCTCTCCTGTTTTGATTTTCTCTCTTTTCTCTCTCTCTGCTCTTGTGTGGGCCAAAGCAGCAGCAGCTTAGAACGAGTTTCCACTTCACCTATCAGGCCATCTATGTCTCGAATGTGAGAGAGCAGGGCAAGCGCTGCCATGTGAGGACGACTGTTATCTTGCACAGTAAATGCAAAGTAAATAGAGGTTCGAAATAAGACAAAAATCGTTTGCAGGTGATAAACATACCAAGGTAACTGGTCTTCGTGTGCTCGAAACAGATATGTTGTTTTTAGCTATGCACGTGGCTTGGCGCTACGGATGGGAATGCTGGGCTGCCTGTTGGTCCAGACTCGAAATATCTAAGCAACTACTGGACGGATTGTCATGGAATTTGGTGCACACTGACACTGAAGTCCTCGGGATGAAATGTAATAACTGTGGTGATCCCCTTAATGTTTCATCGAGTGCCATCAGCAGATCAAGTTTTTGAAATTGTCGAATACATTGGTCTGTGCCCAAAAGCACATTAACATTCACACAAGATTCATTTTAAAGATTATTATTCACTTTTCTCCTGTGTAATTGAACTCATACCTCTGGATGCCATTTTAACCAACGCAAACGTCCAGTGGATTCTCTGTAATACACATGGTGGTACTGAAGGCTCGCTCGATTTTCCATCATCATATCGGTTCCCAAGTTGACCTTTATTATGGTGTCAACGTGTTTCCATCTATCAGATCAGCAAAAACATTTGGCATTTTCTCAATTCTGGCACAGAAATCGAACTTCACATTTCACACTACTGACACACAGCTCTTAGCGCAGACGAAATGCACTCCATTCCTCTTTAAACTACAAGGACATAACTCTGCATAGGAGATAGATGAAACTACTAGGTAATTGCGGCTGTAATTATAACTGGGGTGGAGGTGAAAAATTACCCACATACGAGCTCCGAATGCAATAAATTAATCACTGAGCCGCACAAGTAATGTTGACACCAACCCACCACCGCAGAAATAAACCCAGTCCAGTCTGGGTTGTGTTCTTTTAAGCTTTAGTCCTGTAACAAAGAGGAAATGTAAAGACTCATGTTAATGCGATTATTTCTATTAATTTACAATATGTACTCTCCAGATCACCAAAAAGCAGTGCTGCTGGAGCGGTGCTCTGCGTCTTGGTTTTACATCCAAAGACCCATCAAGGATCAATCCAGACACCTTGCCCAAGTACGCCTGCCCCGACCTGGTTTCCCAGAGCGGCTTCTGGGCTAAAGCCCTACCAGAGGAGCTCTCCAACGAGGGAAACGTCATCTCGTTTTGGGTGGATAAGAGAGGCCGGGTGTTCTACCGAATCAACGACTCCAGCCCTGTGTTGTTCTTCAGCGGGGTACATGTCGCCGAACCACTGTGGGCTCTCATAGACGTCTACGGCCTTACCAGGGGCGTCCAGCTGCTAGGTGAGTCATGTATTCAGGGACAGGTCCTTTGAATTGTGCCCTAATATTTGGCTTTTCTTCGCTTTCTTACTGGTTTTCATCCATACCTGCAAGTTGCATCTATGGATGCAATGTAGGTATGTCAATCAAGTCCATGACATTTAGTGCAGACATTTATCATCTCTAAAGGATAAGTTCTTTAGATATTCATTATCTAAATCTATGATCAATTCACAACTCCAACACCTTATTTCGTCCTCCAAAATCTTCAAAACTAATGACATGGACGTCAGTTCAATTCAACCTGTGCGTTGTACTTGCTCAGGCCAAAAACATGAGCCTATCAAACACAATAAGCATGCTAAGCTATGATGATAAACACCTTAGACTTTTTACTGTTTTACAGCACTCTTGTGCCTAAGTATAGACTCACACAGCCGATAGCATGGCTGTAAACTCTTTGACTCACTACTGTAATGCTTTACCACTGGAAACCATTCTGCGCCTGCTGTTTGTTCAGTGTGAGTGATTCAAAGGTGATGTTACAAACAGCTGCACTAGCTTTCCCAGACCCACCAAATCGCTCAGTGGAAAAAGATGGTGGGAGATAAGGCACATTGTATGGTTACCACGGTTGTTGCTATCAAAGAAATTTCCCTAATTTCAAAATGTCTGAAATCCATTCTAACAAGTCCTCTGCGCTGTTTAAAGGGTCATTACATCAAAGAAATTAGAGGCAAACAGGTCCTTCACAATTATTAACAGCAGTTGTTCGCCGAACTGAACCATCTGAAGTATGTTTGGACTGTAAATTGAGATGCATTAATGAAACACATCATACCTTGGAAATAGCCGTCTCCAATTTTTGGAAACAATACGAAACTATGCAAAATAGACGCGCAGGAATCCTTGTGGATGCCTCAGTACTTATTTATAACCATTTCCAAGAATTGCACTGCCTCTCTCCAAAGAATAGAGGCTGTCAGCACCGTTAATAAAAATAGAAGAGGCTCCCACATTGTGTAGATAGTGCCATTTAACCTCATTTCTTGCGGTGTGGTTGACAGCGAGAAGCGTGCTATCTCGTGATGGGCTGTTTGGTATCCAGCGCCAGAGTGCGACTATCTGGGGTTCACTGGCCTCATGGCGCTGACCAGCACATAGCTCTTGTCGAAGAACAAGAGCAGTGTGTTGGTCATCCCAAGAGAACAGACAAGAGGAGGGATGATGTCAGGTAAGGACATGTCCGGGGTGTTTTTCCAAGACAATCAAACCAGTGGAATGTCTCACTCTTTGGATCCAAGTCTGAATTCATTTGACATGTGATTACCCTGCAATCACCCCTAAACTCGCATTTAAATGTTTACATGAGAGTCATGTTCAACAAAATAGTGTATAGAATAATAACATAATCTTTCCATTTTACAATCAACCAAGACTTTGTGGAATGTGTTGTTGTACTTGATGCAATCTTTGCCTGTGAATGAGGCCAGCAGCCCTAAATCCTACTGTTTCTACTCTAGTTTTCCCACATCGATCACTTTTATCCTCACATTGATGGCTTAAACCGAAAAGCCTCGGCCCCTCAGTCGGCTGAAGGATCACTTGGCTATCAGCTTTCCACTATAGCCCGAGAGCGTCCCTACTCGAGAGCATGGTATATCTCAAAGGCCCAGTATTGTATCGCGAGTTGGCTGCAGTTCAGCAAACACTTAGTCTCTGAAATATGGGCGGACACATCAAAGTCTGCTGCTGTGAACTGGCACGTATTTTCCTTTAACAGAAGGCTGCATTTTGACTCTTAATGAGCCTTATACTTGGTCTGAAATTAACGCTACACCAGCTGATAAACCGAGGCAAATTTCACCTGTTGTGGGCTTCTTATCACAAAAATCTTCCCAGGTGGGAATTATAGATTTCCAGCAGTTTTTTCCTGTCTTTTTTTTCCCTTTTTTTTACAGGATGCAAATGGAGCGTGGAGCTGTGAATAAGCTCCGTGGAGTGTGGAGAATGACTTGGTTAGGTGACCTTGATTTGGCTTTTGAGATAAATGTGCAAGACAGTAGAACTATAAGACAGAAAAAGTTGTGATGAGCTTGTTGACTTAGGAAGTGTGCATTGCTGAGTCAGTGAGATAATATGTTTCAAGAGCTTAATGTTTATTAAAGGGGCACTCCACCAATTTTGCACGGCAAGATCAGCGTACTTATCACTAAGAGTCTTCAATGACTCCAAAGGGAGCTTTTTAAAAGAGCCACTCCACTATTTTAGCATTGACCGATAGTTTTTTTTTGGAAAAAGTAGCAATATAACGCCACACAAGCAGACACATCAGTCTCAGACGTTTCATTTAGAGATTTGAGTATGTTATGCTAGTAGCAGCTAATGTAGCCTCGAGCTGTTAGCCTCCAGCAGCGATGAGGCACAGGGTACACAAGCCTGGTGAGCTGTTTAATCCTCAGATTTTTTTTTTACCTATTCAAACTTGAGAGCGTCTTCAAACCAAACCAACATTGATTCAAGTGACAACGCTTGAGGCAGCTTATCAGATTTCATGCAGCTCCCTCACAGACACAAATGGTTTCATGAGCTTCTTTCTCACATGCACGAGTACTCCCTAAGACCTGTAAACAGACTTTTTAGTGTAAAATGGAGATGTTTGGTTTGATAGATGCTGCCAAGGAAGATATTGTTTGATATAAAATGGTATTTTAGTTGCATTACGGAGAAGGTGGGTGTGTTTGACTAGGGTGGCTAAAAAAAAAAAAAAAACAGGTATCCTGCTGCTTCTATTTACATCGGCTTCATTTTTCGATCAGTGTTTCCCTTTGAGCTCATGTTGAGAGAATGTATGTCCTCTAACCACAGATTTCTACTTCCTCATAACATTTACGGTAACTGTTGTTCCTATAAGCTGAAGCATTCCTGAGGTATGACCTCATTCCCCAGCTGACGCAACCGACACTTCGGTCGAGGTAGTCTTCACTCTTTTATTTTAAGACACATGTAGTGAGCACAAGTGTATCCGATCCCATCCTTCATGTGAAAAGCGTCCTCCCTCTTTAATATTTCATGGATTAATTACGCCAGCGCCCCTTCTCACATGTCAGCACGCATCAACGTAACCGTCACAATGTTTCTGCGAAGTGCCACCTGAGTATAAACCTCTGCCATGTGCCACTGCTATTCTGATAAAACGTTGTTGTGGTGTGATAATTTTAGTCGTTACTAATAGTTTCTGTGATCCCTGCAAGGCTGAATATTTCTCTGAAATCCAAGCCTCTTAAAGTCATCCCGATGATGATGAAGTTGCATAACTGTCTGAACCATTTTTTTCCCTTAAAGTCCGTTTTTTGAAGATGTTTTTCATTCAGTAGCAGTGACCTACTATGCAGGGCTCCAGTCAAAAGTTTGTTGTTTTTTTTTTTCTTTTTTTTTTAGCCAGTGGATTATCCGCATCAAACACATGCTTCGCAGGATTCTCATACCGTTGTGCCCGTTTGATCTTTTACAACCTTACATGCTGTATTAAGGGATTCATCAAAGCTGCCATCCGTCACTGCCTATTCACTTGTGCTGTCTCTCAACGGAGCCTACTGCCAAACTGTTTTTTTTTGTTTTTTTTTTTACTGCTATCAGGTTTTTATTCTGATGTTTAAGGATCTTTTCAAGTGCGGTGTTGTTTCCTCTCTAAGCTGTTATCAAGGGAGTGCAGTTCAGTAGCTAGCCACCCATGCAAGGAGTCAAAGGTGATCCTGAGATCAGTGAGACTGCTTGAAAGCTGAGATGGTGTTGCATAAGAGAGGAAGCTAAATTAATCTGCTGAAATCAAACTGAGCCTCGGGGGTTGTCCAGACCAACAATGCTGCCCATGCAATTTAAGAAAGATCTCTTACATCACCACTCTTGTCCTACTCACGCAGCTATCAATAAAGACTAAAGTGCCTGGCTTGGGTTTTGTACAGAACGGACTGTGCTGTTGAGGATGTGCCGCACTACGCTGAGACACGTTAGCCCTTAGACGGATTGACAAAAGGCTTCCTCAAGCGCATAATGTGTCTCAAGCAACATAACTGTTTTTCAAAGCTCAGCTTGTCAACTGTGTTTTCACAAGGGCTCTGTTGATCTTATTTCTCCGAGCAGGGCTATAAAATGCCTCAGTTTAGATAAAGCTTGATAACGCTTTTATTTACAAACAGAAAATTGTAAAGCTTGGAATTTCGGTTTTCTTTTTCGCATTTGACTTTTATGAAGTTGTTTAATGTAGAAGCCCACAAAATTAGGTCACAAAAAAACAGGCATGTGTTTCATTTCCCTGAAACAAAACACATATGGCAGCAGTATACCTTTCAGCAATCAAAAACATAATGGGGGAATCAGAGTGCTGCCTTTACATACGTACGACTGCAGCCTTAACAGAATGTGTTTGTTTATGGGGCGATTCCCAAGAGACCACACAGAATCGTCTGCTCTGTACAGGTATAATGGATCTCCTCCAAGTTAGATAAGCCGAGCGAGTCAAAGGCATCTTTTGATGGATGCAAGATGCTCTACTGGGGGTTTGTTTACTAGAGGTAGATGAGTCACTTAATCACTGACAGAATGGTAGTGATCCGTAAGACCGGCGTCAGCTAACATCATCTGCAACCTGTCTCTCCAGTCATTAGAGAAGAATCCAAAATGGCTGCCAGACTGTCAAGAGGCTGCGTACCTCTCAGGTGATTAAGAGGAGGGCGTTGACATCAATCATCTTGGTACACGGCATTGCGATGCATTAGGTCTGTAGCGCATCATAGTGGGGAAAACCTAATGCTGTGTGCTTTTCGTGCTTACTAACATGCTGAGGGACATCACTAACATTTCCACCTCAGGGGGCAAAGGGAGCACGTCTCTATTTTTTAACACAGTTTGCATCAAGGAGATTTGTGTCCATATCTGTATCCTCTCTTAAGAAATATGAGATGAATTTCCTGATAGTTTGTGTGCGGTGCTCAGAGGACAAATTCTTGCTATTTTAGAGA